GGAAATCATACAGCAGTTTAGCTGATCCTGGGAGCACATCCCTGGAGACTTGGTGTGTGCAGATGTAATGTCTGACTTTGTGATAGACCCAGCACGAGTGCAGCTGCACGTGCTGAATTTGCTTTATCTAAGTGCAAGCACTGCAGTCCTGTCGTAAGTACTTACTAAGAGGATTGCTACAGTCCAGCAATAGCAGAACCGTGGGTCTGAAATGTTACCTATTCTTTTGCATCTATTCCACACACTGCATTAGTTGGCTTTGGCCAAGTCCCCTACACTCGCATTTGCTTATAGTTATCTTAAGTAAATAACCTCATTAACTAGGATATTTCATGATGAAATAAACATTGGTGTTAAGGGACAAGACTGAAAACACTGCAAAATGATCCTTTGAATTGCTGTAAACTGCCCCTTAAAGGACTGTTTGTATCTGTTTGGTACCAAACCTGGTACATGTTAGACACTTGCTTGAGTGATGAGAATAGCAAATGCACAACCATTTAGAAATATCTAAACAGTGGTGTGTGAAAGGGAGGGAATTAAGGAAAGAAACAGAAGTACAAAGGCGCTGTGTTGTAAAGATTCACTCCTTAAAATGTTATTTTGGGCTGTTGCTCTGCTGCTTGTCATGTGCTCCTGTGTGGGGGGGTTTATAAGAAGTGGCATTCTGGTTTCAGTTGAAGGAAAGCAGACAGGAACTTGTCTTTCCTGATTTCAGGTGTAATTATGACGGTTTAATTACTAATGTTGCAGTGTTCTCACTCTTCTCTTCAAATCAGAATGCCAGGATTTTCATAGGAGTGCATGTGGATGTGTGGGGACAAAAAAGAAAAACAGTTACAGAAGGTTTTCTGCTCCCTTTTGGTGGATTATGAATGTACACTGCAGTTCAGTTAGAAACAGGGTATAAAGTGCTATTACTGAGTGTAATTCCTGAGAGTGCTGGGCTCTGCATGCTTTTCAGCAGTGTTTCAGGATGGGGAGCCTTGTTCTGCACTCCCTCTTATATCCATCACTAATGACTGCCAGTAAATCCATTTCTAGCTCCTCAGCCACCGAGCAGTGTGTAACATTATGAATTCCCTATGTGTAGTTGCAGTTAACTCTGTACAAATCTTTTCTACCTCCCTGTGTTTGTCCTGAATGAAATGTGATTCTTATTCCAGAAGTACTCTGTGCGCCCATGATTTAGCATTAATCAGGAGCCTGTAATGTAAACTGGCTATTACGTCTTGGCAGGACATCTCAATGGTGTCTTCAAAAAAACCATCGTTCCCTTTCTACAAAAGCAGAAAAAGACTTGGTGCAAAAAAGCCATTAAATTGCATGAGTATCACGCATGGATGTGTGTAACATTTCCACGCGGTGGCTACTGGGGGAGTGAAGCTGTAATAGAAGGCAGTGAGCTGTTGCTCTTTTTCCTTGTTCCATCTAACCTGGATAGAATTAATAATTGTACTTAATGACACTGCAACTGCTCTGATTTGTAGGCGCTGGTTTGGTTAGTCTTTCAGAAAGCAGTTTTCCAGTAGGTAGTTGTCTTGTGAAAAGCAATGCTGGAGCAAACATACTGCATTGATTTCCACATAAACAATGATTAGGCACTTCACGTAGAGAGCAGAGGGGGCCTTTGTTCTGCATTCGATTATCTGACTTTAAAGGGAGGGAAATAGGTGCCAAAATTGAGCCTTGACAAATAAAACTGCTCTGTTGCATTAATGCTACAGTTTTTGTGAAGTTTTATAGAAGGGACAATTTTTTTTCCACTGAAAACTTATGATCTATGCTCTGGTAAAACTAGATTTTTAGTTAAAGAAATTTGCAGTCACCGAAAGGTGGCTGTGAAATAAGTCTAATATATAACCATCTGCTTTATGTCTTCTGCAGAACAATGTTCCTCAGGCAGTGCATCTGAGAACTTTAATGGCATTTTTATCAAAGCGGTTTGGTTCTCTGCTAATGTTATTAAAACTTGTGTGATTTTTACTGGAGGACGGCATCTTACACTTCAAAGAAGGGGGGAGGCTGCTCCTTTTTGTGAGGATTGCTGCCGTCACAGTGCTGTGCCTGTGGCCAGCTGGACCAGCAGTGTGTCTTAGCAGTGTGTTAGATCATTAATAGAAAGGTCGCCTTGTTCAGCAGGCCCTCGAGGAGGGAAATTAGCATCATTGCTTGTTTTCTGTGGTATAAAAATGAAATGATGAGGCTCAGGCAAACTAAGAACAAAACGAGTCCTTGCTGTCGCTCCACTTTACTTGGGGGGACTGAGTTGTTTGTACCTGGAGCTGATGCCTTTCTGTGGCTGCTGCAGTCCTACCATGGCTGTCAGGTATTTTTTGTCCCCTTTCTCAATTCCTGTCTACATTTCTGCAATACTTTCTGCTTTCAGTACTGTTGGCCTTTTCTCTGTGAAACAGAGTGTACCAGGCACTGTTATTCTCCCAGGTAACGAAGCGATGCTTTGCAGCATGACCTCATGTTCTCCTGTTGAATTGCCATCAAGATTTTCCTCTGTATACTGTCTGGTTTTTTTTTTTGGGGGGTAGTTTACATTCATTAGAGCTTATTATTATAAAAGGAAGCAGCGTGAAAGAAGGGGAACTTTGAAGACCAACCTTTGTTTTTTTTCCTACAGCTCTTTCATGGAAATACCAAAAGGGTATTTAATACAAGAGAGTTGACACTTGAATTTTTTGTAGTGCATGGTTGTCTTTTTTTTCTTTTGATCAATATAATAGTCGTAATTAGTTTTACTGTTTCTGAGCCTTTGAACTGCAGAGAATTCAAGCAGCTTGTTGCAGCGAGGGACTCCAGAGGAACTTTAAAAGTACTCTTCCCTTTTGCATATATTACATGTACACGGGCTTAATGATACCAGGCTGTGTTTGGGTTTTTTCATCCTGTGCCCCACCTCTCAAACTAATATTTTGAAAAGCTTTGAGAGGTCCCTGGAGTGTAACTGCCTACACAGCTCGGAGCTTTGCAGCCTAAAGAGGATAAATGCTTTGAAGTCTGTACTAATCCTGACTGCCATTTCACATATTTCTCAAGATCACTGAGGTAGAATCCTATGGGGAATAACGAATAAATGTTTTTATAAGCAAATACCCCTTTTTATTGTTCATTTCTCTCTCTGTTAGCACAGAGGGTTCCAAGGAGCCTATTTCTGCCTTTCTGATAATCTTTTTGGTGAGAACTTTGTATTCAAGTTTTACGTCCCTTGTAGGGGAGAGAATCTCCCTCTGTGGCGTGCACACCAATAGTGATGATGGATGAGCTGCATTTGTCTCTGGGATGGAGCAGGCCTGGCCGAGGTGCGTGATGGGCTCCATCCTCAGCCTGCAGTGAGGACCAGGCCCTGCCTGCGTGGCCTGGCTGGGAGCCCTGATGTCACTGCTGGAGCCCGGGGTGACAGGACAGAAAGGGCTGTTAATAGCTGCAGCCATGTGCTGTGTGTGAAACTCCTTGTGTTGATGTGATCCTGCCTGGTGCCTCCAGGTTTGGGGATGCGAGGCCTGCAGGAATTAGCCGAGCAGGTGCTGCTTCTACTCCATGAGCTTGTTTTGCTTCTTTCTACCTTCTGTTGTTTAGAAAAGCTATTTCTTCTCATTGTGTTGCTCCAGTGGCAGCGAGTGGATGGATTTCCTGACATGCTACACTATTTTACTTCCCTTTGTCTAAACATGGTCTGCAGGGAGTTATTTGTAAGTGCAAACAAAGCACAAATAAAAACCATAATAAGCATCAGGTGGGTCAGAAGGCTCAGGTGGCTGGGAAGGCTGTGTGTGTTATTTTCCTATCAAAAGGAGGAGAGAAAACACCTTTTTATTTCATTCTCAGATAAACATCCGAGAGCAATGAACACTAAGGGGGTGAAATGAAGTTAAATACAGCATATCCACAAGACAAAAAGACTCCTTAATGAGTGTTTAGTGCAAGGCCAGAAAGCTTGCTGCTGTTGCCCGTGTCTGTGCTGTAGGGGACGTGGATAGGAAAACAACTTTTAAAAAAGGGAAGCAGATTATCAAAAGGTGAGCTGTTAGTGAAGGTTCATCTAATGCAGCAAGGGCAGTCCTGAGTGCCAGCATGGGGCTGGGTGGAAAGCAGCTGCTGGCACCAGTGCTGCCATCTGATGAGTCCCCAGCTCCTTTGGTAGAAACTGTGCTGGCATCCACCTGAGCATCTTTGGGATCTTCCAGATATAGGATTGTGCTCAGGGGGGCTGATCCTGTATGAGCAGGCAGTGTCCAGGTTAATGTGACACAGCAGGTAGTGGGGAGGATGGTCTCTGACCCCGCTGTATTCAATACTGGATACAAGAAATAATTTTAGTGATGGAAATTGAAATTATTTGTAATTAATCTGTAAATAACTTTCCCACTTGGAATTAAATACCTATTACCCTGGAGTATCACCATTAGTATAAGTAGATAACGTTGTCTGAGAGTGCAGTACCCACTGGGACTTTAAGCAGTGTGTGTCTTTAAAAGGTGTATGGTGGGAGGTGGTAGTGATGCTTTGCAAGAAACAGAGCAGAAGTAGGTATGAAAATACTGAAGTGAGCACGAGTACCCTGGTTATTAAATTATTCAGGTATTTGAGACATATTATTAAATTATTCAGGTTTTTGGCATGTGTATATATGTTTGACCAAATTTCTAAATCTTCTTTCCCCCTTGATCCCAAATTCTTAGTATATTAATAAAAATAATAAAACCTTTTAACAACTGAAAAAAAAAAAATCAATTTTAAGAAAGATATTGTGCCCTATCATGTAACCTACTGCAGAATGATGAATTGCTTCAGGTGATGTATTAATCTACCAAAATATTTGTGAACAAACCTAAATGTTTATTTGCAATTACTCAGCTACTGTGTAGAGCTTCATGGATGCCTCTCTGTGACAGTGACTAATGTTTTTAGGGATTTCTGTTCTTGCTGCCTTTGAACAATTCTTGTACTTTTCAAAAAACCACAAACAATTCTCTTTTTCCTTATAGGTATCCGGAAGGTTTGAAGTCACAAGAAGAAAAGGTAGGAAAGTTTTCTTTCAATCTGCTTGTTGGTGTCGAGTATTCTTGCAGTGACTTCTTAAAACAAACATGAGTTTACACATTTGAAAGGGTGTACTGCTGCCAGACTTCAAAGGCTGCCTCCTAGCACTTGCCTGACAGATTTTTAAAGTAGTGACTTGTAGGTTTTTTTTTTTAAATGCAAAGTTTTTCTGCCTGCACAGAATTGCATGACAGTCCTGGGGATGCAAGTCAAAGTTGGAGTGCTGGCAGAGGATCTGAACTCTGACCCCGGGAGCATTTTAGGGGTGGAAAAAAGGCCTGAACCAGGCTTTCAATGCATTTATATGGTTCAAATCCTCCTCCCCTACCCTCTTCCCCCCCAGAATTCCCCTCAAGGATATTGAATGTGAATTTGCTGGTGCCCTGAGCTCAGCTTCTGCTCCTGCATACCCTTTTGCATTGGTGTTAGTGACTGGTTGCTTGCTGCTGTGAGCAGCTCACTGGTGGTTCCTGGCAGCTGTGTTAGAGTTGGCTGCCAAGGAGCTCCTTCTGGTTACTCATTTTTGCTTTTGTTTAGGTGAACTTTTCTGAAAGTTTTCATGCAGTTTTGTTTCATCTCTGTTGGTATAATGTGAAATGGGAGGCACTCTGATGTTGAACAAATGAATGCTTTCCCTGTTTTTATTCAGTAACTACTTCTATTGCTTTGGGCATCCTGTATATCAGAAAGAGGTTGTAACTAGCACTGCTTCATCGTATGAAAGGTCAGGTACGAGTGTAACTTGTCATCTGGGCAGTGATTGGATTTCCTGTGTTTTTCATGGTGGTTGTGGCTCTCCAGACAAGGGTTCTGCAGCCCACTGAGGCTGAGACAGCAGAGGGACTTGAACAATTTAAATAATAGCTGTTGCTGTAGAAGAAATTTTGTTAGCCCAGGTTTTTGGCATGTGTATGTTTGACCAAACTTCTGCTGAATGATTTTTCTACCACTTTTCTGATGAGGAAATTGTTTTATCAGACTTCAATCAGCCTCAATTTGAGGAGGGCTTTTCGGTTGTTGAAGTGGATTTGAGATGTAGAGAAACAGCTTTGCTTCCTGGATGTGGAGGCATTTATCTAACTGTAGAGTGTGTGGTGCAGTTCATTACTGATGTACAGACTGAGTCCAGTCTTGCTCTGGTGGAAAAAGGATTTAATGAACAAAATTTTGTGAAAGTACCACAAGTGTTGAGATGTGATTTGGGTCTCCAAAGTCTACTTACCATTGAAAGTATCCAGAACAGCTAAGAATTCAAATAGCAATTTTTGAAAGTAATACCGAGTTTATGGGTTGTGCCGGTGCTTTGAAAATGTTCCTTGCGAGCAGTGATTGGATTTTGAGTTCAGTGGCTCTAAACACTGAATTTCCAGGCTCAGGTGGATTTTTTTGTCTTCACAGAGTGGGCAAGGCTTGACTTCTGTTTGGAGGGCTTAATGTAGCAATCTCTGAACAGAAAGCACTTTTTGAGAGTGAAACAAAAGCTTGTTATATTGAGTGTATTTCTGCTGAAGGAGTTATCAGTCAGCAGGCTTAGATACAGGTGTGGAGGGGAGTGGAGAAAAGGGTGGTAGCCAAGAAGACTGCCCTTTGGTGCGGTCTCAGAAATGAGGTGTTTGAAGGACTGCAGATTCCTTGGAATTTGGGAAGAAAACGCCAACATGTAAGTACACACTGGTCAATAAAGCCGGTGGGTTTGCTGAGCTGCCTGGGGATTTCTCAGCAATGCTTCAGGATCGTCATCTCTGGAGTCAGTCCTCAGAAGTTCCTGTACAACAATCCAACAAGTCTCCTTCAGGATCCTGGTGAGCATTCTGTGTTTGCAGAGCAGATATACTTAGGCCTAGAAAAAAACAGGAATCTTTAAAAAAAAAAACAACACAATAATCTATTATAAATTTTGTTACGTTATGTGATCTGATTTAAAATTGAGGCTTTCTTCTTTAGAGTAGTAATCATTGTGGATCATGACTTGTTTTCACTTGAGGAAACTAGAGAGGATCACAAGAGGTCTGCATGTTTCTTCTTGGAGAAGGTGAATGTTGTTCCCCATCCCTGGTGGAACATTTGGCTTTGTGGTTGAAAGCTGAAAAAACAAAACTTAAAAATATCGGACAGAAGTCACCATAAATAAGAGCATATTCTATTTATTACGTTTATTATTGCTTTTGTTACGTAGTGATTGTGGATGTGCAAAGGCAATTTTAAACGTTTTTGCTGAAGTGGGGGGCAGTCCTGCTTACACTTCTCAGATGTTTTTCCTTTTGGGCAAAAGGCTTGATTTCTTTAGATTGAAGGTGTTTCCTTCTTTCAAAGGAAACAAAGCCTTGGTTGTTGTCAAATGGTCCATGGGTAAACACTGACTCACTGTACTTATTTCTTTCAACAAGTAGTCCTTTTAATAGGCACTTGATGGTCACTTCTGTCTGGACTAGGAGGGTTGTATTTATTAGATGGAAGAAAGATGTGAAAACACTTGTTTTTTTCAGCTGTGGATAAGCCTGTTTAAACTGGGATGCTTTTGGTTTCCAGAGTCAGGACTGCATGTGCTGGAGAAATTTTGAAGCAGCTCCAAAGCCCATTGCAGTCGATGAATGGCTTCCTTTGGCTTCTGTGGGCGCAGGATCAAATATAATTACATGAACTTTTAATTGCTGTGGTATGGAGGGGTGATGCCTCCCTAGCTGCAGCTGGCAGACACCTTCCTCTGTGATGTATGAAGACTGATTTCTTTCTGAATTTAAGCAGCAGAGGTGGCAGATCTGTTTTGTTCCTGGGATGTCAAGCTGCTGTTTGGTTGTTATCCTTTGAAACTAAAAATGCTCTGTGAACTGAAAAAAACTCATTCTGGTAGCTGATTAGAAGCTGCAACAATATTTTTGTACTTCCCGTTTAATCCCATCGAGTTGAAATTTTGCTCTCAGACACAACCCAGTGCGGTTTGCATCTGCATTATACTCCTATAATGGAAAAAGGAACATGACATGAGACACAGGATTTTGTGATGCCTTCTTTAAAAAGAAAAACAAAACCCAGCGTGTGGTTAATAAGCACAGGATTTGAATACAGTTTTCTTGCTCTTATAAACTCATGTCGGGAAGCAAGATAGAGCAGGCAGGCTTTCCCAAACTATCCAGCCTTCTCACATTTTCTATCTAAATACTTTCTAATTATTTACTCTATACGTCTGCACAACTGTGCCTCCATGCAGGGAAGATGCAGTATTGCCTCAAAATTCTTACTTTCTGAATTATTCTCATCTCAGTGCCCGCTGGTACTTCGATGAGTGTATGTTGAACAGATGACCTCCCTGCACTGGGGAGGTGAGTGGGGTGTGATCTGGCCTTTCTATCCAGGTGTGGATGTCTCTGATATCAGATATTAGCCAGATATTATTGCTGATTTCTTGTAGCATTCAAGAAAGGGAAATTGAGTAAAAATGTTAATAACCTGTATTTTCAGTATATCAGTTGCTGAGGATGGTGAAAAGGTGCAAGAGGACTGATGGGACACAACAGGGCAAGAACAGGGGTTGAAAGGAAAGCTGCAGTTCATGCTGGCCAGTGGATGATGCATGTGTTTAGTGAAAGAGTGAGAAGAGCATTGAGCAGAAAACTGGGAGGTTAAAAAATTCATAGCAAAGCAGAAGTGCCAGCCCAAGCTCCAAAGGGCATTGCTGTGAGCTTTTTGCTTTACAGTGGCTGGACTTGACTTCGAAGATAAAGATTTCACTGTGTGATGAGTAGATATGAACATATACTTGTTGGTTCCTATTAAAGAGGAAAATAACTTGTATAAAAGCCATGCACTTCCACATCTAATTCTGTACATTCAGTATAAGGGGCATCTGGTGATTTGCCTGAATAATTAACCACATAAGGTGTGATTCTTTAACTGCTGGAGCTGACAAATGCTCCTACTGCTTTTGGCTTTTGGTGCTCAGTACCCAGAATAAGTTGTAGGCAGACCAGAACTGCATGACCATATGTGTGGATAGTCACTAAGCACAGAGCTAGATTTTCAGGCACAAACGAGCAAAGCCATGCTGAATTTAATGGACCTCTTTCTTTTTACTATCTGAAGATCTAGTCCAAACATGTAAAACTTTTAATTTGTTTTTATGTTGCACACAATCATCCATTCAACAAATTAGTGTCAAAAGATGCTTTTTAAACCATTCAGCCAGGAAATGTTCAAGCAGATTGCTTCCACTCTGTTTGTCCATATAATCTTAAATGAGATGCAACTCCAGGCTTATTCAAACAGATATCTAACTACCATAAAGATCCAAACTTTGGCTATCTTTTCAGCATTAAAAGGTCAAAGCCTTTTCTTTCAAGTAGTCACAAGCTCAGTATTGTGAAAGTCTTATTGGTATTTTTGTATATTTAATGATACGAAATCATTGCTGTAGTGAATTACTGGTCACCACAAAGAAGTATAGAAAAGAAAACTCAGAAGTTGGAGTAGTTTTATTGAAAGTTTTTGGGCATGCATCAGTTCAGCAGTGGTGGAGGATCCTGCCAATAGCTTAAGAAAAATTTCATGACATGCCACTTATGCCCTAGATGAAAAACTGAGTCATGGTTATAAAACAGTAATGCCCCTTAGAGATTCTATTGACTTCATCCTTTCCTTTTGCACGTTGCAAATTTCCACCTATCCACGGAAGATGAAAGGCTCTTAAAACTTGGCAGGGAGCAGCAAGTTTCTCTCCTCAGCCTCTTCAGGAACACAATGAAGCAATCAGCTGTAATTTTTTATAGTAAATCACCTATTAATTTCCCATCCCATTGTTCTCTTCCTACTGCTGGAGTCCAAGAAATCTTTGTTCCTTATGTCCCGGTCAGATCTCCTGGAAATCAATAGCTGTGCTCCAAAAGATGTTGACTGTCAGGTAATTCAAATGACATCTAGATTTAAAGGTACTACACAGATTTATATATATTTATATACCTCTGTGTGTACACTATGTACGTATC